AAGGCTTTGAAAATCGAGCTTCATACCAGACACATTTTTAGCTTTTCCTTAAATTTTTGAAAATAATTCTAGTTAATTTTTAAAATTTTTGTATAATTTGTACAAAAAATTACATGTTAAAATTGAATGTACGAAATGTCTCATTAAAATCAAAAACATGTAATTTAAATAAATAAAAAAACTAGTTCTCTTTAAATAAATTCTCATATTTATTAAATTTATTAATTTGAAATTTAAAATGTGATTATTAGATTAAAAAAATAATAGAAAGGAATGGGTACTAAAATAATATATGTGTATATACATAATTACATATACATAATTGTATACAGTTATTTATTTAGAGAGTAATGCTACTTACCCCTCCAAAAAAAAATTCTTCTAATCTCTTGTAGACATGACATTTTTTCATTAGATGGTTTAGTCTTTAATAATTCGTAGTGGATCGATTAATTTATGGCCCCCAATGATTATAAACAATGTCATTTAAGATAATTTTAGGAGGGAACATAATATTTTCCTTATTTATAATATTTGCATTAATATATTTATATAGTCAATGTTATATATACTTATACAGACATTCGTGTGCATTATAAAAGGAGGGGTAAAAAGAACACCCAATTTGACTATCACATGCAACAAGTTTTGTTGGCATCCAAATTCCAAAAACAAAAAACAAAAAAAAAAAAAACATTCTAACGTATAACATTTTGTCTGAACTTAAATAAATTAAAGAGATAATTTTTTTTTTCTCTTAATAATAGTGCTATATATTTTAATTTATTCCGTATAATTAATAATGAGTGAAAATTTTAGAGTATTGAGCTTAAAATGTGAGCCAGCCTAATAAGTCAGGAAAGACTTGAAGGAGTGTAGAACATATTATATATAAATATAAAATCTACAAAGGAATTTATCAATTTAGTCTTTTAATTGAGATAAAACACTGCACATGCTATATGTTTCAATTTGATATTAAAATCAACATCATGTCAAAGATCATGGATTCGAATATAATAATATAACTAGTTATAATCTAGAAGAGTAGTCATAATACAAGTATACAACTAAGGTGGGGAGCCCCCGGAACAGATCTTTGCTAGCATATGCATGTTGTAAATTCGAATCCTGTACAAGCCATTCAGACTTTGAATCCTATGAATTTGGTTTTGTAGTGGGTACTAGTGTACAAACATTTGAGTGATTTACCTCATCTATCCCTCTCCCGAACATGAACGGTGATCGATCGAGGTGTTGGGGGTTGGCCGGGTTCAGCCACTGCTCAATTCGAGACGTGGCACTGTGACTTACCATGGAGGGATGTGATTAAATGGTTAATGTTCACATCACATACTTATCACCAATTGATTTTATGTAGGATATGACAACCAGATAGCCAAAAAACGGAACTTTGTGGTTAAACGTGCTTGACTTACAACAGTCACAGGATGGGTGACCCCTTGGAAGTAAGCATAACGCAGCGGAGATCCATCACTAGGCACTATCAATTGGTTTCAGAAGTTGGTTGCGGTAGTTACAACTATCACATGGATAACCCTCTGAAAAGTAAGCATAATGCAACGGAGATTCATCACGAGGCACCCTCAAGTTTGCTAAATGTTATTATAAGCATATGTATTTTTTTTTTTTTTTGGGGTGGGGGTGGGGGGGGGGGGTGGGGGGGGGGTGGACATATAATTTGTTAAATGCTATTATAAGCTGCTCTCTGTTGACAATCAAAATCCAATTTATTATGTACTGAACAGACAAATCATAAGTAGTTACTTGCAAATATATATATATAGCCATGCCAGGTATTCTTAGTTATCATCAATAAGATTTAATTTGTTTATCATTTCACCATTGAAACTCATATAAATGTCCAAAATATATGTCAACACTGTACCATCAACTTCTCTTAAATGGATAATATAATTAGTTTAACTCCTCTTTACTTTTAGTTTGTTAAAACCTGCATACCACTTTTCTAATTTAAGCAGAGGTCTCTAGTCAGATTCGAGCTCTAAAAATATAGACATCTTAAAACCTCATGTTTTGTTGTCCTTTGAGATCCTAGCATAAAGTGTGTACGGTGTGTAATTTTAGTTGACTAGTTAATAAAAATTGTGGTAAAAAAAAAAACACTACACTAGCTAATATGCAATGTTGCAAAAGGCGCTAGTCGGGCGCCTAGCATCTAGGCGGCCTAGTAATCCGAGTATGTCGTCTCCACTTATCCTACTCAGAGCTAGGAGTTGTATTGTTAGACTGTTATAATCTCTCAAATTAGTCAACTGCATATATTAGATGGTTAGTTGAGTACATGCCTGGAGAAATATAGAAGAGGAGTTGCCGAGTAGGCAAAAAATACCACACGCCCGAGTTGAGCACCAACTTGGTCGAGTTAGGCGCTCAACTCGGCCGAGTCGGCGTCTAGGGTGCCTAGCCAGCCAGTTAGTCACGTCAGCCGACTAGGGCTGAAATCGCCTTGGCCTAGGGGTGCCTAGCGCCTAAACGGCCGTCTATGCCGATTTTTACAAGACTGCTAATATGTGTATTTCATGCGTTGGTACGTACATATAGATTCAAACTTTCAGAGTCATGTTTAAGCAACTTAAACCTCCCCGTATTTATTAGTAGTTACAAAATATTTTTAATTGTATACTTGTGGTATTAAGAAGAAAAAAATGATGCAAAACTATGTAGTTAGTCAAACATGTTCAAAATCCAGTTACTGCGAAAGGACGTGAGAGGGAGAACCGTGCCAAATTTTATTATATGATTTGTGCAAGTTGGGCACTATAAATAATTGATGTGTTTTAACAAGGCAAGTTGTGAAGAAGTCGTTAGTGAGTGATGAACATTTTTGACATACTGTCTGTTGAATATTTTTTTTGAGTTGTATGAACAATTCTCCGTTCCCATTGCTCGTGGCGTTTACCAATTCACTTCGTGACAAATTCTTATCCATTTTATAAACCTCCAGTCCGTACAAATTTTAATTGGGCACTTCACCAATTTATTAAAATATTCAGAACTTGACGAGTAAATTAAAAGATACTTTTTATATTTTATCTCAATAAAAAGTTTATGGACAATCTCAATAGTAATGATTTTTTGTGGTTGTTGAGATGCCAACTAGGAGAGAGGGGAGGGAAAGAGAAGAAGGAAAAAGAAGAAAAATAAAAAAATAAAAAGCACGTCTGATGCAAAAAGGGGAAAAAAGCATTTAACGCGCCAGCCTACGTGTACGGTGTACGCGCCCAACTCTGCAGACTTTGTGCAGTTAACGTGCAGAACTGCATCTCTCTTCTCCATTTTCTCTCTCCTGGGGGACCACAAAAAAAAAAAAAAAATCTCTTGCCGGACAACCTTGACCTTCCCTCTCCACTCTTCTTTCTCTTCCACATGACAAAAAAGACTGCCAAAATCATTGAAAATCCTCCTATTGTGGTTGCTCTAAGTTAACAACTAATGAGCGTAGTAATACATGGACACATAATCTTGTGCACATGTACGTATAGTTAGCCAAATTTAAAAATTTGTTTCGTGTCAATTAAAAAGTTAAAATGATAGTTGAATTACATATTTATATATTACTCCGTATATATTACATACTCAATAGAGTATATCTTTTAGTGTTAGGTGATTTCGTTGTGAATTTGTGTTTGTTTCTTTCAAGTTAGATAGGTCTTCCATCCGTCTTTGTTTTTCTTGTTGTGTTTGTAATAAATTTATTGTCTAAAATATAATGAGTTAATACAATTTTGCTCGACACAATTAGTAAATAATGTATTACAATATAATTACGGAGTAATAATTATTATTTCTTCTATCTTATTTATTATTTATTGGTCAAATTATTAGATTTCCTTCACTAATTTCCCTTAAAATTTTCTTAATTTAAATATCATGTTACTATTACTTTTAATCTAATTTCTAAATGTATAAACTCTATGTGTTAATGCTAAATTTAATGTTACAAAACACACACACACACACACACACACACATATACATATATATATATATATATATATATATATATATATATATATATATATATATATATATATATATATATATATATATATATATATATTGTCAGGTTTCTATGCAGACAGAGTTTCTCGTGCGGTCCCTAACCATTAGGTACGCATAAATACACCACGAAGTGCTCGGAGATGCACTATTAATTAGTTGCGGTGCATTTTTTTGTGTGTGATGCATTTGTTCATTTCATTCTAGTTCATTTCTGAACAGTGTGTAGTACATTTCCTAATATAATTGACAAAAATTAATTTCTAATTAATATTCATTTCCTAATGTCTTACTATATTAGATTCATTTTTAATTCTTCAACAGGTAAAAAAGTAAATATCAATATGTACATCAACTAACCAACATGCCCGGCCCTCCAATGCTTGTGCCCACAACAAGACCAAATTCATACCTTACTTTTTGATCATTTACAAGATTCAAACCTCACACTTTGTGACTATAACTAACAAAGTAAAATTTATAAACTTATTTTTATACGGGGTATTTATTAATTATTACAAAAACCACTTATTAACTCGTAATAGAATCAACCAATTCATAAAAAATAAAATTTTGATAAAATTCTTCACACCTAGCTATTGCTATTATCAATAAATTTAATATTTGAATCAATAATATTTACCTATATATTGCCCTTGAGAGAATTGTTCCTAATAAATATCAACTAAATTAATCTAATTCCGTGATATGCAAATACCAATTAATATAAAAATAATACTTGTATCTATCCCCATATAGTATTGGACCCTTCAACCTACACAACCGTGTATGTATCTGACCTGTATTTAGAAAGAAAAAAAAAATTACTTGTATATTTAATTTCCGTATTGAGAATTAACATTTTTATATTATGTAATATAATAATAATATCCGATTTAATTTCCTGGAAACTGCGAGCCAGGCCGGGCATGGAGAAGTGAGATGTGGGATCCAACAAAGCCTTTAAAACGTGGAGTGTTTGTGAGGATAAATACATCTCCCTCTTCACTTCCTCCATCGCCAAATTCTGTCACCAACAAATTAAAGAGCGCAGAGCAGATAAGTAAAGTGAATCAAACTCAGAAAAAGTTGATTAATTATTTAAGATGGTGAGAGCTCCTTGCTGCGATAAGATTGGTGTGAAGAAAGGGCCATGGAGCCCAGAAGAAGATCAGATTTTGATCTCTTACATTCAGAGAAATGGCCATGGCAATTGGCGAGCTCTTCCCAAACAAGCTGGTAAGTATATATGCTTTACATTCAGAGAAATGGCCATGGCAATTGGATAGATATATGTTGTAGTTTACTTAATTATTGTGTTCTTTTGGGTGTTATTAACTTCTCTTATTTGGTTTAGGATTGTTGAGATGCGGCAAGAGTTGCAGGCTCCGGTGGATAAATTACCTTAGCCCGGAAATAAAGAGGGGAAATTTCACCAAGGAAGAAGAAGACGCCATTATCCACTTGCATGAAACGCTTGGCAATAGGTTAGTTCAACTTCACATCAATATAATGCCTTCCTTTTTTACAAGAAAAATTCACAGTACCTGTATAAGGTGTATACTGGATAAATCTCACCTTGTAACACTAGTCGTCAAAAGAATACAAGAAGAGGTAAACCAATTTTTCATAGTCGATCCACTCAAACCAAAAAAGGTCAATAAATTACTCTCACTTGAAATCGAACTGTCAATAGCTGATCAACTTGGCTTCTTATTCCAATTGCCTTCCTTTGTATACATACATACAACACCCACATTCATACACAAAGACAAGAATCAACTCCCCCACCTCCACCCCGTCTTCAAAACCCCATTTTTTTAATGCTACTGACTCTTGTAGTATCTGTTCATAATTACTTTCTCAAACTACTGAAACAAGCCAATAACGTCTCCATAGAGGCTTGAACTCACAACCTCTCATATGGTCTTCATTCTTCAAAACCTCATATTATATTGTTACAATAAAGTAATTAAGGTGATTATCTTATGCTAATTACTTTGTGTATTATTATTGCAGATGGTCAGCAATTGCTGCAAGATTACCAGGTCGTACAGACAATGAAATCAAGAACGTCTGGCATACCCACTTGAAGAAGAGGCTCTCAAACTACGAGCCCACCAAGAAGCACCCAACAAAAACTACTACCGCCACATCCGAAAAACATTCCGACATTCAACATGGTACGGGCCCCACCTCGCCCCACCAAACCTCCAGCAGCGACGACATGTCATCGTCGTCGTCGGCGACAGATTCCTCGGCCATAACGGAAGATCCGGCAATGATTAAGCTGGAAAACGCTGATTCAGCGGAAGGGTTCGTGGAAATTGATGAGAGCTTTTGGACAGAAGTGCCAAGTTTTGGGTCCACAGTTTCCAGCCTGGAAAACTTTATGGAACAAAGTGGGGGGGATATGAATATGAATATGATGGTGGAGGATGACAGGGACTTTTGGTACAATCTTTTCGTGAGAGCTGGGGAACTTACAGAATTATTAGAGTTTTGAGGGCTAGTTTGCAAATTAGAGGTGTATAGGGGGGTGGGTATAATATTTAGGGGGCATTCTTGACCGTTAACTCTCTCCGGGACAGAAGATTAATCTGAAGAAAGATAGGACATACGAAACCAACAAAACTTTTTAAGGTTTTATATTCTTTAATTTGTTTTTCTTTTTCTTTTTAACAGAAGCAGATAATATTGTATTGAGTATAGACTTGTAATAATGTTTAATAATAATAATAATATGAATCATTCGTTGTACGAGCGCTTCTATTAGCAATTATGGTGGTATTTTTAGCTATCTAAATATGTCAAAATGTGAACATTATGAGGTAAAACTATGAAGAAAAAAAAAAACATTATTCTTAAAATTAAGGATAAAATATAATCAAATTATTAGTCAAAAACTAAATTGAAAATATTACCATATTAAATTCTAAGTTAGAAATTAACTCAATTTATGTTTGGGTTGTTATTCATCCCAATTAAACTATCAAAGTATTTGGGTTGTTATTCATCTTTTATTAGATTATATCCAATAGCATATCAGCTCATGAATTAGGTCAATAATATCAACTTAAAACTTGCCAATGATTATATGGTTTACTAAGGTCCACCTGTCCAAAACGGTGCACTTTCAAAGTACCATGATTAATAATCACGTTAGTGGCGCAATTTCAAGGTAACATAGTTAAAGGCATCCCCAACAAAGGGATTTTGCACAAAATTAAGGGAAAAAATGGGTATGTGGAGGAGAGAGAAAAGAGAGGATTGGGATGCTCCTGCAAGTTTGGGGTTTTGGGTAGGTTTTGTCAGTTTTTAATTTTGTTTTTTATTTTTTCTTTTATTTTTTCTCTTTTCACTTATTTCTCTTTCCTAATCCGTACTATTGATGATGCCCTAATAACCACGTTAGTGACGTCGTTTCTTCAAAGATAATGTATGTAAAAAACATTAAAAATATTTTGTCTTGTTTTTCAAGTCATTCGTATTCTTCACAGAACTTCTCTGCATCTCAAACAAATCATAAATTCGCAAAATCACAAAGCAAATCTCTTCTATTGAAGAATATCAACTTGCTGGTTCAATTTGAGTATAATAGTTTTCAATGAGGAAAAAAAATACAAGAGTAAAGGTGAATCTTCATAACTTTGCTAAATTTTGTGTTAATAACAACATTTTTTTTTTATATATGAAGGAAGGGTACACCCAAGAAGAGGTTTAAAGTTTACAAAGATATATGCACATTGCGCCAACTAGGAAAACCAGCCAAGTCGTTATCCAGAAGCTCGCCAATCTCATCCGGAGGGTCGGTCAGTGAGAGTAGGCCATAGTCATGATCAAGGGCCAGTTTTGCTAATGCATCAGCTACTATATTCTGTTCCCGAAAGATGGGACTGACGACCCATGAATCCAGGTTTTGAAGCTCCTTTCTGCAAGCCTCCAGCACGTTATGAGCAGCAATACTGGGAGACGAGAGCTGAGTAAGAAATCAATTGCTTCTCGTGAATCAGACTCAATGTGGATTTTTTTGAAACCATGAGCAATAACAAATTGAACACCTTTCAGAGTTGCCCATGCTTCAGCCTCTAAAGGAGTACAAATGCCGAGTTTAGCCAAGAAGCCCATCTTCCATTCACCATGTGAATCTCTAATCACCCCTCCACACCCTGCAAGATGTGAGTGGGTAGACACAGCTCCATCTATGTTCAATTTAACAAAATTGGCAGGAGGTTTAGCCCAGCAGAGTATCTTCCAAGCCATTGGATTATCAGGAATCTTAGGACCTTTCGAATTTGAGAAGGCAACACTAAACTCGTTTGATTGGGAAAGAATCCAGGAGACTTTGGAGTGGAGTGGTTTGGTAGAACCCTTGAATATGGCCTCATTACGCCACTTCCACAGCCACCAAAGGGTGGTGGCAAAGAGAATGTTGTCATTATATGGCCTTCTTCCGTCACCTTTCATGGAGAGGCCTTTGTCCAACCAAGCCACAAGAGGGTAGGTGTCGAGAGCTCTCATGAAGCAGCGGATGTATGGCTCTCCAGACGTCCTCTGCAAAAGGGCAGAAACGAAGGACATGATCTGCATCCTCGGCTATCACTCCACAATGCCAGCAATTCTCATTATCTGTTAGGCCACGTCTCATTCGGTTATGATTGGTCAGAATTCTGTCATGCCTTACAAGCCATAGAAACATACAGATCCGGTTCGGAAGCTTCAATTTCCAAATATTATTCCACTTTGCTGCATCAATTTCTACTGGAACATTCATGGCAGTCGCATAAGCTGAGTTCACAGAGAACTTACCGTTAGCCTCCATACTCCAGATGGCTCTATCGTTCGCATGGAAGTCTTCGTGAAGGACAAATGTTGCCAATCTGTTAAGGGTCCTTGCTGGGAGAACTTGGTCAAGGAGATCCCATTTCCAGCCCACTCCCGCTGTCCAATAGTTTGCAACGGTGTTGTTTAACACAGAGGGAGCTAATTGTTGTACAGCAACATTAAGCAGTGGAGATTCTTCCAACCACACATCTAACCAAAAGCGGGTGGATCTACCATTACTTACATGCCATTTGATTCCTCTTTGAATGATCGGTAGAGCCCGGAGTATCCCTCTCCAAGCATTGGAACTGCTACTTTTCATTTGCCATGAAGTCAAGACCGAAGGTTCAGCTTCGTATTTGGATTTAAGGATCTTAATCCAAAGACAATCCTCCTCCTAAAAAAGTCTCCACGCGAGCTTAGCTAAGAATGCCAAATTCATTATTTTGAGGTTTTTGATGCCCAATCCCCCATTTGATTTGGGGTTTGTGATCACATCCCACTTCACCAAGTGGCATTTCCTTTCTCCCTCCGAGCTGCCCCAAATGAACTCTCTAATATGCTTTTCAATAGAGTCGATGACCCCTACCGGAAGCAGCATGGACTGCATAGTGTAGAATGGTATGGCCGATAGAACCGATTGGGCCAGTACATGACGTCCAGCAAGTGAAAGCGACCTGGATTTCCAACCAGCTAGCCGTGACTGAATCTTACCAAGGATATTGGCAAATGAGTCCTTGTGTAGCTTGCCATGGATTGAAGGGAGCCCAAGATGATTGCCCAATGTCAAGACTTTCGGGATACCCAGTGAGTCGGAAATATGCCAAGACTTTCGGGATACCTAGTGAGTCGGAAATATTCTGTTGGACCACGGGGTTGGTGTTAATAACAAAATTTGAACCAATATCTACAAATTTAACATAAATTTAGGTTACTTTGACTCATGATGCATCTATAGTTTATAGTTTATTATGTAATTTTAGCCATGATTTTATGAACCTAAAGAACATATATTATGGAGATAAAACGAAGTGAATGTCAGCGTACGATGCAACTATAGTGTGTAGTTTATGTGCTTTTAGCCATGATTTATGAACCTACAGAACACATTATGGACATAGAACAAAGTGAATGTCATCGCATATGATGCATCTATAGTTTGTAGCTTATATACTTCTACTCATGATTTTATGAACCTAAAGAACATAAAACAAAATGAATTAATATTAAGTCACTAAGATATATATTTATATTTTAGATATTGTTATATATAATTAAACAATAAGACCTTCACAATAAGTGTAAAAAAATATTTAAACAATATGTTATATGTTATCTGATAAAAACAAAACTCATTTTGGGTTAAATGGGAACGTTATGCTGTGCACGTGTTATGTGCCTACCTTGCAAGGTGGCCACAGTTCTATATTTCTATATCTATAATTTGATTCATAATTTCTATATAGTTCCATAAAATTTATACTTTAAATTCATAATTTCTAAATCATAGATTAATAATTTAAATACAATAGATTCATAATTTTTATAGAGTAGATTCATAATTTCTATACTGCAAATTCATAATATCTATACAGTAAATTCATAATTTGTATACTATAAATTCATAATTTCTAAACTGTATAATTATCAAATTATGAACATATAGTTTTCTAATTTGTGAAAACAGAGTTCAACAATTGAAATCTAAAGAATAAATTTTATGAATCTACAATATAAAAATTATGAATCTACAGTATAGAAATTATGAATATGAAACCGTGCCCACGTTGGCTCACAGCATAATTTGCCAGTTAAATGAGGTCTGGCAATTTTCAAGTGAAATCACAACCCAATAAAAGTCAATTTTACAGTACTAAGCAGCCCAGAAAAAAAGATAAAGGAAATCCATTTAGCCCATCTATAAAATGTAATGGATCAGCAGCTGAAAGCCTGAAACCTTGCATTGCTTCTTTGCAGCCCCAAAGGCCAAACTAGCAGGCTTTATGCAGAAGCAGAAAGTGCAGGGCAAACCAGTTATGGAGTTCTTCTTGGTTTGATTATGTTGACATGTATTGTCCTGGAAGTTTTGGTAAGGCAGAAGAAGTTAAGGGCCGTTTACTAACTGAAAATTTCTAATCCAGCACCAACCTCTTGCTTTTTGTAATACATCTGATGGAAGTTTACCGAAAAACTGTTAGTGCTTGCACAGCCCAGCTGGAGCTGATCAGAGCATGGTTTTTCTGGAAAAACATAAAAACTTCTTGAACACGCATTTTCACTTCTTATCGAGCTTTAAAAGCATATTTCTCTTGTTAGTGTTTGGCCCTGCAGAGTAGATAAATTCAAACAAGCACTTAAGTTGCACTTTATAAGAAGGTTTGAATTTTATTGCAACCAAAGTATATGATACTATGGTAAGTAAGGATAACCACAGACTACATATTACTTTATCAAAAAAGTTAATAAAAAAATAAATTTTTTTTTAAAAAAAAGAGAGATTAAATATCAGTGAGTGCAGTCAAAGACTCAAAAGGGATTTGCCTGCATCATTTACACTACAGCAAAGTAGTAAACCCATTTTGCTATTAACAAGAAAATAAGAGAAAATAAATCACTGCAGTCTTAGAACATCACACTAAGCACCTCATTGAACAAAATTTGTTTAGATGATCTGCTTTAGAACCCTACAAAGAAACTACTTCTCAATGCCCAAAAATGGAAGAACCCTACAAAGAAATCTAGATATCCAGATAAACAAGACAACATAGAAGTATTTAGCATTTCCAAATTCAGTTGTGTGTGCTCTTACAAGGGGAAGTTCAAGGAAACATAGTTTCAACTTCAGTCTAGAGTACGTAAACATTTTAAAAAGAAAACACCACCTTTAATTCATTTTAAAAACTCTGAAATGAGTTTAACATGTGTATAATCAAGGATGAAAAAT